CTCCTGCTGGTGAAGGAGCAGCCACCCTTCTGTCCTGGACAGAATAAGAATAACACTGACCCGGCCCTTCTTCCCCGTAGATCGTGAAGGGCCTGAAGTACATGCTGCACATGAAGATTGGCAGAACTTCTTGCAAGAAGACCCAGCACCCTATTCTAGACAACTGTCACTTCCAGACCAACCATACCTTAAAAAGGGTAAAAACGAAGGAGTCTCACCTCCTCACACCTACTCACTGCCATCCCAGCCCTCGCCACTCCCCAGGGCTTTGGGAACCATCCCCTTCATCACCTCTCTGCCTGCAAGGTTCCAAATCGCAGTCCCAGCGTCCGTGCAGTACCCAGAGACCTGGGAGAACACAGACGCAGGGCTCACAAGAGAGCACCTCAAACCACTCCCCTGAGGAGCACAGCTCCAGGAAATAAACACCCTGGGCTTGGGGCAGGGGAGGTCAGAACAAAAGGAGCTTTCAAACAGTTCAGAAATCATATACACACATACACATGCAGGAGAGAGCAAATGTGACATCTAATTAATTTGCAAAAGAAAGTGAAAAGTATATATTCTTGAATCTCTCAACTCTGTAGATGTGAAATTTTTCAAAATAAAAACTTGGGGCAGGGGGAAAAAGTCCTAAGGAAGATGCGCACGCACCGCCCACCGCTGCAGGGAACCTAACCGCTACGGAGCCTGTCGGGAGTGCAGGCTCTGCGACAGGGGAGAGGAGGGTCTCAGTGTGCCCTTCTTTGTTTCAGACTTTCAGTTGCTACACGGAAGTTTGGGTCATCCCCTGGCTCCAGAGGTTCGAGGTGCCCGTTCTCCGCTGTCGCTGACTTCAGCCTCTCAGCAACACTGCACTCCTGCTCTTCCCTGCGTGCGGGCGCAGCCCTGCCCTGGCTGTCACAGGCCCTGGGACCTTCCGACGTAGTGGCTCACCAGTGAGCCGAAACGGAAGTGCCTGTGGGCTCATCACAGAGTAGCCAGGGTGGAAGAATCATACTGCCTGTGGTTAGAGTATGTATTTCTCATTTTCTTCTAACCTAATTTTACCGATGCTCCGATGGTAATTATTCAGGTTCTGGACCCCTGAGTGAGCCCCCTCCGTCCCCTCCCACTTGATTACCTGGTGGTCCCACATCCAGCAGTGAAAGCCCAGAGATCCGTCCCTTTGACCAAATAATGGTTACAGCCTTGGGCAGGGGGACAACTCAGCTATTGTGCATCTTGACCTTTTGTGCATGAATAAAACTATGAATAAATATGAATAAAGAACTGACCATCTCAAAGCAACACCTGTTGCTTTAATCTGTTAAAGGGTCAGGAAGGTGAGGTGAACGTTGTGAGGGGTCCCTCTCACTGATGAGTCTAAGTGACTTCCAAAAAGCCCCTTGGAGCTTCTCTGGCCTTTCACTGCCAGCTAAACTATACTGAAGACCAGAGGCCTGTGTCCACATCATGAACCGGCAGGGCAGGTAGCCCCCCACTTTGGAGGGCACTCACCCTCCAGCTGGGCTTTCTTCTGACCAAGAGTCATACACCCAAGTTCTTGATGGACTTGATAATTCATAGGAAACAAAATCTGCATTAAATATGTATGACAATTTGTGTGCAGTTGTAAACTTGATCACCGTGTACAACCAAAATGAATTACCCTTTGGCTTCCTTCAGTGAGGGGAGAGCTTTAATTTCCAAATCCTCACTCATTTTTGCTGGCTCGCCTCCTTCTGGTCATTTAATTCAGGGACAGTGATGGCAACTATGCCACAAGAAAATTTATTTGATGATTCTGAAGGCCACCCTTTCATCAAGATAAATGAGTCCACCCGGCGTTGTTGACACCATACATAAACAAGGTGCAGGAAAACCAGGAGTCAGAGCTTCAGACTCAGATGGGCCTCGGGACACAGCTGAAGGGGCAGGATGTTGCAATAAATGAAGGTAGGAACCCATGCGAACTCCCAGTTGGTCCTCATGAACATCTAAATATGGCCCAGAGCACATGAAGGCCACGCCTCTCCTGAAAATTATTACTTAGGCTTCCAGGCCTGTGGGCCCACCTGGCCTCACCTGGCCTCATGGTCAGAAATGAGAATACACACACAAGTGTGGGGGAGCAGCCTCACAGTACCTCTGCTCCGAGCTGAGCTGCATTTGAACCCCCTTCTGCCCAGCCAGGAGCCAGGGCTGACCTTACGTCTGAGGACAGAGAAGGAAGCCTCAAATCTGAATCTCCAAACTCTCAGGTTTCAACACTAACCTATGCCCACAATTTTCAAAACATCATTTGGGGCCAGGTATTTAAAATCTCTTCCTATAAAGTAAACAGAAGTCTTAGAACTAAGACAGACCAGCTCCTGCAAAAGCCAGTTGACTGTGGGTCCCCCAATCTCAGGCTTCTGCAAACCTTCTCTACATGGGGACCTTCGGGCCTGAACTCTAGGTGACTTGAACTCTCTAATACGTCAGCTGTTTTATTATCCCCAATCTGCTTTATGTACTATACCTCACAGAAGACAATGCTTGACTTTAAATAACGCTTACACCAGCCGCAGTGGCACCAGAAGGAAAGGGGCTGAGCCAGCGAGCCCGCGTGAGGCTACTCTGATTTCTGGAAGCCAAGAGCTCATGTGCCCTTGTCCTCCAGAGACACATCTGCCAACCGGTACACTACTGCAGACGTCTGGCTACAGCTGCCTGGAGAGCAGGTCCTGTGGGCATGCTGCTTGTTCTAGCGGCCTAACTCTGCCCCTCACCCCCACCCCATGAAAGACTTCACTCTAGACCGAGTACAGCAAAGCCCAGCCTGGGAGGGGACTGGCCAGAGAGCCATTTGGTAGGATTCAAACAGATGAAACAAAACACCCACATGGAGATGGTGTAACTTACCGTCAGTGGCGGACATCAACCAGCGATGACGTGAAGTCTTGTATTGCCACCCCAATTTTTTTAAGATTGTATTTATTTATTTGACAAAGATAGAGAACACAAGTAGGCAAAGCAGCAGGCAGAGGGAGAGGGAGAAGCAGGCTCCCCACTGAGGAAGGAGCCCGATGCAGGACTCAATCCCAGGACGCTGGGATCGTGATCTGAGCCGAAGGCAGCCGCTTAACCGACTGAACCACCCAGGCACCCAGGCACCCCTTGCTGACCCAATTTTACCTGCGTTTTTAGACTCAGAGTTTTACTCTCAGAATGACTCTGACAGAGGGAAGCTGTGACATCATCTAATGTTATTCTCACTGAGAAAATGTAAAGTTAAGTACCCAGGATTCTAAGACATACCAGAATTAGGACCGAAGTGAAAAAATACTCATTGTTCAAGGTCTCAAAAACTGAGCAAAACCAGTCAAAATTCTAACAGTCTTGCCCTGAGTGTTCTAGAGCTTTCCCTGGCCATGCCCCACCCCTCATCACTAGCTATACACAGACTCTCAGGGATTCAGCTCTACTGGCCTTGCTCCAGGTGTCTGCCCAGCCCAGCCCCTTTAGGGTACAGGGTGGGTCCCAGCAGTGATGAGTGCCCCACCACTGTCATGGGGACCACCTGTGAAGCTTGAAACCATGATGATACCAGGCCATTCTGAAAGACTGGGAAGCCCAGAGGACTCTGATGCGCAGCCAAGGTCCAGCCCCTGGGCTGGGCAGTGACTACCACAGAGCCAGGTCCTGGGAACACCACCCCGCCTCACCTCCCAGCTTCCCCAGCAGATTCTGAAGTCAGACCATGGGTCCTGACTCAGCAGTGTGCTGGCACGGTGTGCCCAGTGAGTCTGGGCAAGTCCTCTCCACCCGCCCCCGCAAGCCTCAGTTCCCCCCTATAAAATGACTATATCTCCTTCCATCAGTAAAACGTCAGTGTTCATGAAAACACTTTCTAAACTACAGACCACCCTGCAAATGCATGTTGATGATAAAAATCTCAAAACAAGGCTTCTGTCCTATGAAAGGCAGTACCTGAGTCCCAGTGGAGTTTTTGTAATAGATAATAAAGAAGCACACAATGATGAATAGTCTGATTTAATTTTAAGAGCATGTTAGTAATTCACATTAGAGTAAATCTGCTTTATGTTTACAACAAAAGCATACCACATATTTAAACCTAATAAGGCTATATTTTGCACCTCACCATGGCAAATTACCAGCTAAAACACAGGAAATGACACGTTGAGACAGAAAGTCAACATCTAAATCAAAATCAAGACTCCTTTGCTGAAAACTGTGAAAAGCAATTTACCGGCTTCTTTGCATTGGTAAAAAGCAAGCACTAAAAAGTAAAGCCCTCTGTTCTCAAGAAGTCAACTTCTATACGCTCCACACATTTAAATTGTTTTTTATGGCAGAATGTATTCCTGTACAGCTGATATATGGGGTGCACCATCATCTATTAAAAAGTATTTAATAATCTATACTCAATTTTCTTTTCCCTAAAGTAACATAAATAACATTGAGTCATTTACCTAATACATTCTGGGTCACACCAACTGGACTGAAGCCAGTCTCTGATTCTGTCCTACTGCCGCACATGAAGCCATCCCTGAGCACGCAACACAACAGATGAGCCAACCTCCAGATCCTGACTCTTTCCCCTAAAACGAGGCCAGGCCAGTGCAGGGCAGGGGCTGCGGTTGGGAAAGGGAGCAAAGGGCTTGTTGCCAACCAGTGTGACACAACAAAAACGGTTCGTGTTTTACCACAGCTGTCGTTGCCTATTTAAAATATTTCCTTGTCAAGTTACTGAAAGCGATTCCAGAGACACAAGGTCTTCTGTACTCTCACGAACTGCCAGGAGGGAGAGGAACAGGTATCAACCCCATTCTGTAGGCTGGGGACAGGAACACAGTGTAAGAGCAACTTGCCCAAGGATGAAGCACTGCTGGGAGGTGGCAGCTGGAGGCGGCCGCCCTGGGAGGGGTGCGGAGCAAGCCAGATGGACTGCTGGGGTCCCTAAACAAGGTCCTGGCCAAAAGGATCCTCCTCTCAGCCCGCGATGGAATCAAACTCCAGTCACCGTTAACCTAATTCTATCAGAGAAGAAACTCCCAGGCAACACCATCAGAAAAGGTTAATGAGCAGAAAATCAATTTAATTATCATTACTACATGGGGCCCCCTGACAAAATTAGGACCAGTGTGTACACACTTGTCAGGATATACAGCCATTTCGGGCTTGTGACACCCTAGCAAATGACATTAACATGTGCACTATTCATCTGCTGGTCTAGAGGTAAGGAACAAAGGGGTGTCAACAGGACTCCCCTAGATTCTGCCCCGTAGTACCCAGCTGCTGGATCATTCCATTGATGTGGTCTGTTCACAGAAAGAAGCCCTGCAGGTCCTCTGTGAGCTGCTGGGATCAACATGCTTCTATGCACTTTCCCAGGTCCTTGCCTTTAAATGGTTGATGGGGACTCAGGAGTCTTGAAAACCCTCTGGTTCAGAGTGGGGCTGAACTGGCGCAGGCTGGGGAGTGTGAGCTATGGAAGGGACCGCACAGGATCCAGGGCCCAAGGCCCACACAGCTCTGGAGAATATATCTCTACCATTTACACAGCCCCACTCACTGGCCTCAACAAACTTTTGCACTGAGCTCTCCTTGCCCTTCCTGTGCCCCACCCGCAGAGACCGGTATTACCACATTTTATAGTAAAGATACTGAGGCTGGCAGGACAGCCAGTAGCAAAAACAAGATCCCTGGACATCTCATCTACTGCTCTATCCACCAAACCCTGAGACCTATTAAAAGTGTATGAAGACTCCTAAGTCCTAGAGAATAGAATCACTGTACTTAGGTTTTTTTAAGAGGAAATGGTTTAATATGGACTTATCTTCCCCGTGGCATGTTATGCTTCCCTCTAGATGCAAGTCAAACCCAGGTGAGGGGTATCCCACAGGGGCCCAGACATCCGAAGGGTCTCACTGTCCACTTCCAATGTCCATGTCCAAGGACCGGCAGGTGCAGGTGAAAAGGGCTGTGTGCACAGAATCTCCTGGACCGGCAGTGGTGCCCAGTATGAGGACTCCTGGCACAGCCACGGTCAAGGCTGCTAAACAGACTGGAGGCTGAGTCTGCAGAGGAAGGGGGCCCTGAAGGAGCCCAGGTACAGGTGCCCGTCATGCTCGTGCACTTCGCTGACGTAGGAGGCCACCTGCCCATCAGGATCGTGCAAGCTTCTCCGGAAGGCCCCGCTGTCGCTGAGTTCTAGAACGAGGCTGTACCGTGGTACAAACTTCATCACAGTCTCCTGACTAAACAGCTGGGAGGGAAGCACAGTGTGAGCAGAGGTTAGCTTCTGACCAAGACAGTGGTGTGAGCAGATCCGGCGTGCTAAAAACAAGACCATGGGCCCAAAATGGAGTCATTTATGCTCAGCTCCAAGTCACCAAACTGAGACCTAACTTACTTACAATTTGGGTTCTCCCAGAAATGGAATCTTAAGCCAGTCAATTACGAATCACCTAATCAGCACTAATGAGGTAATCTGCCCGCCATCCCCTAAAGGAAAGTAGCCTGGTGATAACCAACCCGGTTTTTTGTCCAGTGTAACCTCCCTTGTTCCCGCTCCCTCCTGCCTATAAAAGTTTTTCATTTTTTACTGCTCCTCCAAGCTCATTTGTATCTGCTGGATTGGATAGTGTCTGACTCATGAGTCACTGAACGAAGCCAATAAGCTCTTTGACATTTATTCAGTTGAAGAATTTTGTTTTTCACAGATGCCACATCCCCTCCCCATCTTGTAAGGGCCCAGCTCTTCCAATGACAGGGAAGCTGCATAGAGCGGAGGCCGATTAAACCAGCTCCCTGCCCCTGGCACAGGGCCTGTCACCTCGCAGGCCTCCCCCACTTCTGCCCCTGGGCAGAGCAGGCCAAGGAGCCTCCTGTCACCTGCATCCAGGCAAGGCCAGCCTGGCACAAGGATGGCAGCCTTCCAACAGTCCTCACCACAGTACCCACCAGACCCAATGCAGGTGCCACTCTGAATGAGCTAGCTGAACCAAGAGAAGGGTTCATGGCTCCTCACACCTGAGGAAGACACGATACTGAAGCCAAGCCCACACTGACATGGACCCCAGGACACCGGGTTAAAACCAGCACAGCCTAAACCAGAATAAACGCCAAGCCCTCAGATTAGGTTTAAAATATTTCAGATGTGCAAGGTGCAAATGACGGAGATTTGAGAGCAGTTCATGTTAGAGGAAAGACCTGGACGGGTTAAATGAACATGTCCCTGCCCCCTAGGGCCCTGGCAGCTCCGCTTGAGGCCAGTGTAGAGATAACCTCCACGCTGAGCAAGGCACCCTCTAGGAGCCCCGTGGCTCAGCCAGGTCAAGGGCCACACGGGGCAACTGAAGGGTTTTAAGCAGAGAAACCAGAGAGTAAGATATGCAATTTCTGGCAGAGCAGGACACCAGGGAGGAAATGATGACAGTATGCTACTGCATGAAACCAGTGAGTGAAAATTAATAGGCAGATGTCTACCTTTTCATGTAGGGGGAAACAGCCAAACAACTGTAAATGTCCAATGAATAATGTCTCCTAGTTGTTGGAAGGGTCCAAGCAGCCATACAAGTTGACTGTGTTCTAGAAAGTTGTATGGCAATCAAAGTTGATTAGAGCTTAAAATACTTCATAAGGCTTCCCACGGTCCATGAAATGCCACCTCACCACAGTGCCAGGTCCCCCCTTCTCTGCTCTCTCCATCTTATCCCTAAGGCCTCTCACCCCCTCTGCTGGGTTTAAGTTGCTTTCCCAGAAAGCTCTCAAATCTCCCCCCCAATTTCCAACCCCTGCCTGGTGCTGACCCTTCTCCACCCAGACTTTCTAACAGTTCTTCAAACTTGACAGACACCCTGGCTAAGGAGACAGGGCTGTGGACACCAGCTGCTGATCCTGAGACCCCTGCCCTCACACCTAATCCCTTCTCTCCAGACCCTGCAAGCCCAGCACCACAGGGTCTTATCATGTGCTACGGACATACCACCCCCACCCCAGGCTCTGCCTCACCACCTTTCCTGGCTGCTGCAGCCTCCACCACGCCAGGCTCTTCACAGCCCGTGGAGCCATGCTACAGGCTGCCCCCTACACGGCAGCTACGGTTGTCTCTTTAAAACTCTCTCTGTACTACATCATGCCCCTTCTGAACAATTCGTCAGGAAGCGGCTTGTAGGGCCCAGCAAGGTAGGTGTGTGCAGAGGCTGGAGCCACAGTGGCCCAGACCACGAGTCAGTCCAAGCAGGGTGAGGCAGAGTCCACACTGTGGGGAGGGCAGTGGCACAGAATAGGGCATCGGAGCCCAAGCAGGGCCTGGCACAGGCTGGAAGAGCCCAGGCAGAGTGAGGACAGTGTTTACCTGGGGACAGCTTGGCACAGGCATCCGAGCCTTTGAGGGGAAAGGCAGGAGCCTCACACGGTTGGGAGGAGGGAGAAGGCCCAGCGTGGGATGCCAGAGCCCTAGCAGGGGCCGTGTGATGGGGGACATGGCCACAGATTGGTGACATCCGGGGAATCTGATCAAACAGGTATGAAGGGTAATAGGATCCAGGTGTTTCACTATTAGAGAAGGGAAGTGGAAGTGGAGAAAACTAGAATAGATCCTGTGGTATGGGACTGGAAGCCAAAATTCCAGCATTACTTAGAGTTTTCAATTTAAATAAACAGATGATGAATAAATGAACACGTGTGTAAACATGTATACGTACACCGCCTATACAGTTGACCTTGAACAACACTGGTCTGAACTGCAGCAGGTCTACCTATATGTAGATTTTTTTTTTAATAAATACAGTGCTGTAAATGTATTTTCTCTTCCTTGTAATTTTGTTAATAATATTCTCTAGCTTACTTTATTGTAAGAATATAGTATATAACACACATAACATACAAATTATGTTAATCAACTGTTTGTTACTGGTGAGGCTTCTGGTCAACAGTAGGCTGTTAGTAGTTAAGTCTTTGGGGACTCAAAGGTTATATGCAGGTTTCTAACTGCACAGGGGCCAGTGCCCCTAACCCCCATGTTGTTAAGGGTCAAATGTATTTATCTACGTATGAATACACATGCAGATGTTCCCTGGCCTTGTCTGTTGAGGGGGACTAGGGCAATCACCTGCCAAAAGCCATGAGCACATGTAGCACCAGATCTTTTCTAGAAGGAACCCGGGCTCCTGGAGATGTGGTCCATTACAGAGCTGGGGCATGATGAGCCTGAACAACGTGGGCTGCCAGAAAGCCAGGAACCACTCCAAAAGCGGTAGGTACATGGGCAAAGGTCAAGAAGCCACACTAAAGGGGCTCCCACTGGTCACAGCCAGACAATTTGAGCCTCAAAATAAATAATGGCAGTAAGAGACTATAAACCACTGAAAAAACTGGCAACCATGAGATCACACTGATGTTTACTTATTTAGAAAGTACCTCCCCACAAAATACTTGTTAATTACAAATGGAAAAAGAGTGACTTCACCATGGAGAAGCCCGGCATTCACCACTGAACCAGGTGGCCAATGCTGCCGCCACCCATATGGGACAAGCTGACATCATGTGCCTCCTAACAGGACATACTGAGAACACAACTTCCATGGTCTTCCTGCCAGAGATGTATAACAAATCTAATCATGAGAAATGCCAGATGACCCACACAGAGGAACATTCTACAACAGAACTGACCTGTAATTGTCAAAAAGATCAAGACTGAGGAGCTGTTCCAGACCGAAGGAGAATAAAGAGACATGACAACTAAAGGCCACACTTCAGCCTGGGTCAAATCCACGAGGGCAACTGCCCAAACCCTGATGATGGTCAGCAACTTACTTGCAAATAGTTCAGGGAAAGGAATGCTTTGTTACCCTCTTGCTACTTTTCTAAGTCTGATACTATCTCAAAACTAAAAACAAACAAAAATCCTCCAAGACTTCAATTACAGTTAGAATAAGATCTAGACTCTGTGGCATCTGCAAGGCCTATGGTCCTCTCCCACTGCTCTCGATCTGCCTCAGGAAGGTGTGGAGCTCTCCTGTGCCAGGAACCATGTCACTGCTCCAGCCCCTTCTCACACTTGTTGCCTCAGCTCTCTGAGCACACATTGCTTCCACAGTAATTTCTAAGCACCTACCACGTGCCAGACGCTGTTCTAGGTGCTGGGAACAAAGGAGCGAATGAAACATAACACCTGCTCTGATGGAGCATGTGTTCTGTCGGGGGGGGGGGGGGGGCGGCGCAGACACACAACTACCACCACCGCTTCACTGTGGGAAAATGGACGTGTACAGAAAGAGAACACCTACTAAAGTCAGCTAAGGGCATTATATGCATATTCCTGTTACAATTTTTCAGTACCTAATGAAACAGAACGATGCTGTTATTCTTCCCACTTGAAAGATGGAGAAATTGAGGCAGAGAAACCACATCATCTGCCCAGGGTCCCACAAATGGCCTAGCCTTCCTCAAAACCCCTGTACAAAACAAAAACAAAACAAAACAAAATAAAAAACAAAACCCTGTCCTTCCTCCTACTTCGCCATTCTGCCTCCTCCTAGGTCACAGTGGGAACAAATGCTGGCTCTGGAGCCAATGAGGCAAAGAGGAGGAATGTATTATTTTTGAACAGACCAGGATTTTCCACAGTGACCCACAGAACTTGCAACAAAACTGAAGGCCATGGGCCAGCCTAACAGTGCAGGTGCCTACAGCCCCTCAGCAGGGCCCAGACACAGGGCCCAGCACTGTACAGACTCAGTAATTGCTGCCTGGTACCTTCCAGGGCCTTAAGTTACAATTATTTTAATATATCTATTCACTATTCAATATTCAATCTCAGTTTCCAACATCTATTCAGCCTGTGAAATGGGGCTTGTTGGAAATGAAGATTTCTGCATGATGGAAGCACCCGTATCATCAGGTTCCTCATCCACAGTGCTAAACATGGGGAGCTACACTGAGGGCATTTCATGGAAGTCACTGGGGGAAAGGCTGTGTTAAGGGGTCTGTGGCTGGCCCTTGGTGAGGGTGGGTGTTTTTTTTTTGTAACGAAAGAGTTTGGTGTGCTAAGAGGTCAAAGGTCAGGATCCTATGGGGATGGGGGAGTATGACTGACAGGAAGGTTTCAGAAGGCAGGAGGAGCCAGGGTGGGATGAGGTCCGAGGAAAAGTGCGTCTTGACGTGTGGCTGCAGGAAAGCGTGCCTGATAACCATTTAAGGAGGAGCAGCAGTGTGGTCTGCAGGGGCCCCATCTGAAGGCCAAGTTGCAGGGTCTGTGGAGAGGGGAGAAGGCCTGAAACAGCCATCACAAAGGGGCAGGTGTGACTGATAGGACATGATGGTGAGGGTGATGGTAAAAATACCCAGACAAGGAAGCCAGAAGGGTAACATCAAAGGGTTCGAGTGTTTCAATCTACATTTCAGGCTGAGACAGAAAACTTGTATTAAAGAAATCACTAAAAGTGGGGTGCCTGGGTGGCTCAGCCGGTTAAGCGTCCAACTCTTGACTCTCGATTTCAGGTCGGGTCATGATCTCAGGGTCATGAGATTGAGCCCTGCGTCAGGCTCCACGCTGGGTGTGGAGCCTGCTTAAGATTCTCTTTCCCACTCTCTCTTCCTCTGTCCCTCCCCTCTGCTCTGCTCACTCACAGTTAAAAAAAAGTCACTAGAAGTAGTAAATATTATAAGTAGCACGAGAATTTTTAGAGCTCCAAAGGTCAAAAACGATGGTAATTAGATGCATTTTCATTTTGTTTTTTGGAATTACAGTTTTCATAGTTACCTTAAAAATCATTCTTTTAATATAGGGTCTCTCGGATAAGAAATCCAACATAGAAAACCCAGGGTTGGAGCGAATGGTTGCCATGCTGACCCAGTACCCTCCAGAGCTGCTGGGTCGGATGTTGTCTGGAAATCCAGGCAGGTTCTCCACGAACAGATCAGCCCCTCCCTTCATCAGGCCCGACAGGTAGAATCTGAAAAATTCACCCAAGCAAGTGGTGAGCAGAGGTCCCCGAATGTAAGGAAAACTTTTAGCCAAGCACCAAAACGGTCCTAATTCCAACTGATTTACAACTGTAAACGTGTCCACCGTGAAGGAAGACACCAGATGGTGAAAGGGGCCCTCACCAGCCCGGGGTACAGCTAGAAGCAGTAGCAGGGAGCAGGCACCTCCGGTAGGGAAAGGGACCCAGGATGTGTGGTCAGCATTAAATCAAGACTCTCCCAAACCACAACTTTCAAGCAGGCTGAGATAGAGGAGAAAGAAAAGGCACCCCTGAATTTTACTGCTTCCATTATCACACAAAGGAGAAGGTGCCCTTCCCCATCTCCGATCATGTAGCTCGACATCTCCCAGCAACCTGGGCTTGGCCACAGTGAGCTCTGGCACACCCCCAAAACTCGGCAGGAGCGGCACGCACCTTCTTATCCTCGCCATTGTCGTCTCGGCCACCAGGACAAAGTCCTCCGCGGGAGAAAGCTGCACTCCGTTAGGGAACCGCAACTGGTCCAGTAAAACCTTCACTTCCTTGGTCTCCGTGTCATACTCTAGTAGGCTGTGGGGCGCCAACAGCAAACGCTCACTCGGGAGAGTCCGTGGCCCCTGCCACGTTGGAGCCTCACTCCCTTCTGAGCCTCAGGCAGGGGGCCTGCAGAAGGGGATCCACCTCACGCTGCAGTGACAAGGCCCCTGGTGGTCCTCCGCCCAGACCTGACTCCAGGCTGGCCCCTGGGGGCCTTCCCATCCAGAGCAGACCCCAGGCATCCTCTTCCAGAGAACCCCCCAGTCAGTTCTCTCACCAAGCCAGGAGCTGGCTCAGCACCAGGGACGGCCCCCATGGCTCCAGCCTCAAAGAAGTCCCCCTTGGGAGGGATGACCTGAAACGGAGGCCAGCCTGGGAGGTGTGACCCAGAGTGCCTAGACCACATGCTCAGATAGACTGGCCTGTTTTAATTTCATTTTTTCAAAGAGAAAGAGAAAACATCTTGTTCTGTTGTGTTGCATCCATCACCTATTTCCAGAAGTCATGAAAAGTCCTATCTCAAAAGCTGCAATATCATGCTCAGAAACACTCCAATGACTCCCACAAATAAGCTCTGCCGAAGTCACCCTGCCTGACTGATGATCTCACCGAGCAGAAGATCTGAAATGAACACTCACCGCCCATCATCCGTTCCCTCCATGACCAGAAGCAGATAATCTCGTCTCTGCCATTTGCTGCTAGAATCCGTAAAATAAATCTTCCTCCCATCCTGAGTTATTGTAAGATCATTCACAAAGGACATTTTCCTCCCCTCAATGGGTGTCTCAGAGGAGATCAGCAGTTTCACTTCACCTGAGGTAGAAGAAAAGGAGAGAGGGAGGAAAGGAGGGAGGGGCAAAGAAGGAAAGAAAGAAGGCAATAATAACGGAAGAACGAAGGAAAGGAGGGAGGAAGAGAAGACCTGTTTTCATCTAAGTACTTGTATGTCAATAATTTCAAAGTCTCAATCAGCCTACCTGATTTAAAAGGAAAAACTAAAATGAGCTTCTCCATGTTATACGCTAGTAGATTTATTCCCTCTTCCAGTAAAAAACAGTGTTTTCCTTTCTTTTAGCTGTTAGGTGATTAATGTTTTTACACTGACTTCATTAACGGCAAAATCCCTCCTCTAAGGATAAAGACCTCTTCCTTTCACCAAGACCAAATGACTTTTAAAAATCTATTAAGAATCTTAGGTGAAAGGCAACTGTCTTTTGGTTTGCTTGAGAGAAATAAATGTTCCATTCATCTGGTGTTAAATACGGAAACAGTGACAGTGGTAAATTTAAAAACAGGAGAATTACCATTTATGGAGTGCTAAACTGTCTCCATGTACAATCTCATTTAAACCCTCACATGATCTCACAAGGCAGGCACTACCATCAGCCCGGTTTCATGGGTGAGTAACCTGTGCACAGAGAGGCTAAGGCACCTGCACAGTCACACAGCCAGCCATGAGCAGAGGAGGCCACCCAGAGCCCGGGCGCCGCCCCCCTCCACGATAACAAATTCCTGCATCGTACAAATTCCTCTGCTGAAGCACGTACAGGGAGAAAAACGCGGGTAGGAAGCGGACAAAGAGCAAATGGACAGACAGAGAACAAACAGGAAGACAAGATAGAGATACAGGAAAATAAACAAAGAAAGAGGAGTTCTGACATTTTGAGGAACAGACCCTGTGGCTAAAACACAAACAGGAAATTAGGGGATTGACCAAATGGGGTCATGAGTTACATGACAGCTGATATGCATAGGCAATACTTCCAGGACGATTCAATGAATAAGAAAATATTAGAGTCTCCAGCAGATTGTATTGAACAAATTCTATTAAATCCACTTATGCACATATTGTTTAAAACATTTGAAATCATCACAGAAGGAAATAAGGCATTGTTACGTACGTTTCCAGGGATTTACTTCAAATAGTCCCTTATACGCATCAGCCACAAAAAGGGTTCCATTGGGCCCCACCCGGACGCCCAGGGGCCTCCCACAAGCAGGCTCATCATCTCGGGTTTCTAGGGAAACAAACAGAGAGGAAGCAGTGGCTGGTCCCAGATTCTACCTGTGCCTCCAAGTACCTCATCCATCCCTTCCTAAATATACATTGTGCTGTTCAGAACAAAAAAGGATATGGCATTAGAAACAGACCCATTCCCCAGTATTCCAGCCCCCTCAGAACTTATAACAACTGTCTGGTGTATCCACAGGGACCACCTGAGAATATGGATCTGAACATATGAACAGCAACTGGTATCCAAGAATTGTGTTCATATTAGCATCCTGAGACTTGAACAGTTAACTCAGGGACATCATCAGGATCCAGGCCCCAACTCTAGAATTCCCTCAGGACCTCAGTAATTTTGAGTTTAATCCCAACTGCCTGACCTGAATACTCTGCCCATCTAGGGCCTTGGCAGTTTTACCTCCACCTGGCTTAAAGGGAGAGCTACTATTTTATTCCTCAGATTAATACCTGTACCCTTTTTAAACCTGTGGCAATGCATATTTATTGTGGGTGTGTTCACTGCCGAGCTCTATATACAGGGATGCTTCTGTAAGCTGCTTACTGCAGAGGTGTTTACAGCAGGGGTGCTTTCTGCAGGGTGCTCAGTGCAGGGTGCTTTCTGCAAGGTGCTTAGTGCAGGGTGCTTTCTGTGGGGTGCTTACTGCAGGGTGCTTACTATAGGGCACTTACTATAGGGCTACTTACTGCCAAAATACGGTGGAAAAGGCAGGTTAAAAAAACAAATGTAGAGTATGATTCCATCACAAAACCAGAGTACCCATGAACAGAAAGAGATCTGAAAAGCTATGCCCTAAAATGTTAAGTTATATCTGTGAAGACTCTGAGGTGACTTTTACTTTCTCCTTTGTACCTTTGTACAATGAAAATGCATCATTTTTACAAAAGCATTCTAGCTATTAAAAAACAATAACTACTAAGAAACCTGTGGGCTACCAGGTTTTAAACAGTGAGACTCTTCAACTCTAATTTCCCCAAACCTGAGTGACATAAGGGTGTTTTCGCTCTGAATGACACTACTGAAATGCCTGAGCAGGAAAGATATTTCAGCGTGCAAGTAAACCAGAGCCAACTGCTCTTCCACTGCAGCACTCTGACAATGGCTATTAATCTTCTTCAAAGTGACCTCATGGGTGAACACGGGCCCCTATAGAATAGCAGGGGTGCAAGGCCCATAAGGTAACTGGCAGGTACAGGGGCCACTGCCTAGTTGGCAAGCTACACCTGCACAGTGACAATCAGGTACCATGAGGTCCAGGGACCACATGGCAAATGAAGAGCTGGTGGGAGCACTCAGGTCAGGCTGTCTGCCAGGTGGTCGGGGCTCTTCTTCTGCAAGGATGAACCTGACTTCTAGGGAAATTAAGCTCCACACAGCCATTCAGCACCTTTCTCAATGACCACAGACATATATCAGGGGGTGCTGTCACTGACTTACTGCATGGGCCTGAACCAAACCGGGCGATGGTCTCTATTTCACCATTTTCAAGTTTTACGATCCGGCCATCTGCCGTACCAGTAAACATCACATCTGTTTAAAAAAATAAAAAGGAATAAGAGAGTTACTAGATTAGCCTAAGAACTGTGATCATGCTGCCTTCTACAACAGAGGTGGCTTGTTTGTATTTTTCATCCCTAGAAAGAAAATGACAGCTTTGAAGATGAAGAAGTGATGTCTGAGTCCTTAAAAAGTCCTTAAAGCATGCAGTGATAAAACCATGGGGGCCTGGGGCACTGGCACATGGGCTTGAACCTGACATTGGAGCAAGGATGCAGAAGACACCAGTCAGTGAAAAAAACTGAGGATTTTCCACTCTCAAAAGAGCGCGGACTCTCGGGCTAATGCTCAGCACTCAGGGACATGTGTTCATGTTTGCCTCAGGTCGATGTCTGCTGCTGACACTGATTATACCCAACTCAAGGGGAAGAACTGCTAAGAAGTCCCCTGGGATAAAACTAAAGCACATTAAGTGCTCAGTCCATCAGCACATGTACTACCCTCAGAACAGCACAGAGACTAGTACGGCCCCTGCACAAAGATGACATGCAAATTCGTGGAACATTCCACAGGTTTTGAATGTGTATGGGCAAACTCTAGGGCAACTACTAAAACAATTTTTTTAGAAAAAGTATAATTGATATGCTAAGCAAGAAGACAAAATGGAATCATATAAAATGGTCAATTAAAACTATAAAAGCTATACTCGTGGTGAATATAGCATAATGTATAAACTTGTCAAATCACTAAGTTGTACACCTGAAACTAACACTGTGTGTCAACTATACTAAAAAACAACACAAAATAAAAAACTATAAAAGGCAGAGAGTGAAGACAAAAATAGGAACAAATAGAAAACAGTAACAATTATGGTAAATATTAACCTATATCAATTATCACTTTAAACATCAATGGTCTAAATATACCATTAAAAAACAGAGACTCTCAGAGTAAATCAAAAAACATGACCCAACTATATTGTTGTCCATAGGAAACCCACTTTAAATACAAAGACACACAGAGATTAAAAACAAAGGGATAGAAGAAGATATACCATGCCAACACTAATCAAAAGAAAGGGAGTAGCTATATTAATTTCAGAGCCAACTTCAGAGTAAAGGACATTATCAGGGATAAAGAAGAACATTACATATAGTAAGTGGTCAATCTTCCAAGAAGGCATAATAAGCTTTAATGTGTATGTGCCTGATAACAAATCATCAAACTCCATGAAGCAACGCTGATAGAAATGCAAGGAGAAATAGATACCTATAAGAGTTGAGGACTTAAGCATCTCTCTATCAGAAATGGACAAGTTCTAAAGACAGAAAATCAATAAGGACATAGTTGAACACAACAGCATCACTGATCAACTGGATACAACTGACATCTATCAATTGTTCAACCAAATACAGCAAAATACACATTTTTCTCAAGCTCACATGGAACATTCTAAGACAGACCACAATCTGGGCCATAAAACATACCTTGTCAAATTTAAAAGAATAGAAATTATATATGGCTCTCAGACCACAGTGGAATTAAAATACAAATCAATACAGAAAGATGGCTGGAAAATCCTGAAATACTTAAAGATTAACACACTTCTAAATAACTCACAGGTCAAAGAAGAAATCTCAAGAGAAATTGAAGAACATTTTGAACTAAATAAAAATGAAAATGCAACTTCTCAAAATCTGTGGGATGCAGTGAAAGCACTGCTTAGGGAGAAATTTATAGCATTGAATGCATATATTAGGAAAGAAGAAAGATCTAAAATCAATCATCTAAGTGCCCATCTTAGGAAAATAGAAAAAGAAGAGCAAAGTAAACCCAAGGTGAACAGAAGAAAGAAATAATAAATAAAAATTAGAGCAGATATCAATGAGATTGAAAAGAGGAATCAAAAGAGAAAAATCAACAAAACCAAAATATGGTTCTTTGAAAAGATCAATAAATGATAATCTATTAGCCAGGCTAACTAAGTTAAAAAGAGAGGAGATACAAACTACCAATATCAGAAATGAAAAACAGAACATCCCTACAGTCCCCATGACATAAAAGGATAATAAAGGAATATCATAAACAGCTCTATGTTCACAAATTTGATAACCTAGATGAAATAAACCAATATTTTGAAAAACACAATCAGCCAAAACTCACACAAGAAGAAATAGACTATTTGAATAGGCCTGTATCTATTGAAGAAATGAATCAATAACCAATAACCTTCCAAAACAGAAAAACCATAAGGCTTTTGCCAATGGGTTCAGCGATGAAGTCTACCAAACAATTAAGGAAGAAATGACACCAATTCCCTACAATCTCTTTCAGAAAATAAAAGAAGAGGGAATACTTCCTAACTTATTCTATGAAGCCAGCATTAGTCTAATGTCAAAACCAGACAGTCATTACAAAAACTATAGATCAAGATCTCTCATGAACACAAATGCAAAAATCCAGGGTGCCTGGGTGGCTCAGTTGGTTAAGCGTCTGCCTTCAGCCCAGGTCATGATCCCAGGGTCCTAGAATTAATAAGTGATTATGGCAATCATGCTCCTCCCTCCTGCCTCCTTCTCCATCTCCCTCTGCTCCTCCCTGCCCCACCCCACACCCCCTGCTTGTGCTCTCTCTCTCAAATAAAATCTTTTTAAAAAATTATTAAAAAAAAGAAAAAATAAATTATCAGAACAGTCTAGATGAGATAGGAAATTTGAATAGACCAATATTAAGGGAGGATATTGTATACATTGTCAAAGATTAGAAAAGGCACAAGCAAGCACAAAATAGAAATTATAGCCCAACATCATTTATGAATTTAGATACAAAAATTCCAAATAAAACATTAACAAAGTCAAAAAAAAAAAAAAGAAAGAAAATACTTAGGTAATCCATAGTACCAACAGGTTAGAGAAAAATCACATGATCATATCTACAGATGCAGAAAAGCATTTGACAAACTCCAACACCCATTCATGATAAAAATTTTCAGCAAATTAGGAATAGAAAGGCACTTGCTCAACTTGAAAATACCTACAGCTAACATCATAATTATTGGTGACAAACTTGGAAGCTGTCCCACTAAGATGAGGAACAAAAGCAAGAATGTCCCCCCCTCACCACTCCTTCACAATACTGTACTAGAAGTCCTGGCTAATGCAATAAGAGAAGGAAATAAAAGGTATACTGATTGAGAAGGAAGAAATAAACCTTTGTTCACAGATGATATGACTATGTAGAAAATCCCGAAGAATCAACAACAACAAAAAAACTCCTAGAATTAATAAGTGATTATGGCAAGGTTTCAGGATACAAGGATAATATGCAAAAGTCAATTACTTCCCTATATACCAGCAATGAACAAGTAAAATTTAAAATTAAAAAGAGAACAGCATTTACATTAGCACCCAAAAAAATAAAATATTTAGGTCTAAATATAGCAAAATATGTACAAGATCTATATGAGAAAAACTATAAAACTCTGATGACAGAAATTAAAAACTAAATAAATGGAAAGATATTCCAGGTTCATGGATAGGAAGATTCAATATTGTGAAAAGGTCAGTTCTTCCCAACTTGATTCATAGATTCAAAGCAATCACAATCAAAATCCCAGCATTCTGTATATATCCTAAAACTGATTCTAATGTTCACATGGAGAAGCAAAAGAAGAAGAACAAAGCCAGAGGTATGACACTACTTGACTTCCAGACTTACCATAATGCTACAGTAACCAAGACATTGTGGTAATGGTGAAAAAATTAAGACAAATAGTTCCATGTAACAGAATATGAGTCCAGGAACAGACCCACATAAATTAGTCAACTGATGTTTCACAATACAATCTTACATAAAATACTGTAATATAATGGAGCAAAGATTGTATTTTCCCCAAATGGTGCTGAAACAATTGGACATCCACATGTAAAAATGAATCTAGACACAGACATTACACCCTTCCATAGCAGTTAACTCAAAATAGACCATAGACCTGAATATAAAACACAAAAGCATAAAACTCCTAGAGGAGAACATAAGAAAATGTAGGTGACTTTGGGTGTGGTGATGACTTTTTAGATACAACAATAAAGGCATAATTGATGAACAAATAACTGTTAAGTTGGACTTCATTAAAATAAACTTCTGCTCTGTGAAAGACACAGTCAAGAGAATTAGAAAACAAGCCTCAGACTGGGAGAAAATATTTGTAAAATGTACATCTGATAAGGACTGTTATCCAAAATATACAAAGAACTCTTAAAATCAACAATAAGAAAATGAACCCAATTTTTGGGAGACGAACCATGAGAGACGGTGGTCTCTGAGAAACAAACTGAGGGTTCTAGAGGGGAGGGGGGTGGGGGGATGGGTAGCCTGGTGATGGGTATTAAAGAGGGCACGTACTGCATGGAGCACTGGGTGTTATACGCAAACAGTGAATCATGGAACACTACATCAAAAACTAATGATGTAATATATGGTGATTAACATAAAAAAAACTTGAGAAAATGAAAAAAAAAGAAGAAAATGAACCCAATTTTTAAAATGGCCAAAAGCCTATAGATACCTCACCACAGAAGACAGGCAAATAGAAAATAAGCATATGAAAAGATGCTCAACATTATATGTCCATTAGGGAATTGCAAATTTAAACAATGAAATACCACTACACATCTCTTAGAATGGCCAAAAATCTAAAACACGGAGAACACCAAATGTTGATGAAGATGTAGAGCAAAAGGAACTCTCATTCATTGCTGGTCAGAATGCAAAATGGTGCAGCCATTTTGGAACACAGTCTGATGGTTTCTTACAAAACTAAATATATTCTTACCCAAATGAGTTGAAAACTAAGTCCACACAAAAACCTGCATGTGGATGTGTATAGCAGCCTTATTCACAATTGCCAAAATTTGGAAGTAACCAAGATGTCCTTCAGTAGGTAAATGGATTAACTGGTACATTCACACATGGAGTATTACCCATCAACAAAAAGGAATGAGCTATGAAGCCATGAAAAGACACGGAGGAAACGTAAGTGCATATTACTAAAGGAAGGAATACAATCTGAAAAGGCTACATGCTACGTGCTACATGATTCCAGGACATTCTGGAAAAGGCAAAACTATGGAGACAGTAGAAAGATCAGTGCTGCCACAGGTTGCAGGGTGGGTAGGGATAAACAGGTGGAGCACAGAGGATTTGGGGGGGATTTTTAGGGCAGTGAAACTACTCTGTATGATATGATAATGGTGGATACACATCATTCATACATTTGTCCAAACCTACAGAATATACAATACCAAGAGTAAGCCCTAAGGTAAACCATGGCCTCCAGGTCATAATGACATGTCAAGGTAGGTTCATCTACCACGTTCCACTCCGGTGCTGGGTGTGGATAACAGAAGAGGCTGTGTATATGTGCTGGTGGGGGGGTGGGGGCAGTGTATATGATAAATCTCTGTTCCTTCCCCTCGATTTTGCTATGAATCTAAAATGTTCTAAGAATCGTGGAACACTACATCAAAAACTAATGATGTACTATATGTTGGCTAATTGAACATAATAAAAAAAGCTGTAAGAAATAAATTTTATTTAAAAAAATTAAAGTATGTTAATTGGTGATTACTCTCCCCTGCACCCTCCTGAGGCCAGTGCCTCCAGCCCCCCGGACAACCTCCAAATGAAGCTGGGAAGCAGCGGCTCCCTGGAGGCCTCCCTGTGGTTCACACCTGCAGGGGGGTAACGGACCCCACTGTGCCTAACCAGAAATGTCACAGAGAGAACCACCAACTCCTTTAAGGGAAAAGGGCAAATGCTGGTGCCACGGAGCAATGAGGTGACAGCCCAAGAGGAAAAGGGAGGGGACAAGAGAAATATTCTCTTTGAAAGATTACAGAAAAGATGACTTAACTCCTAGGAGTTCCAGTTTTAAATATCAATTTTGATTTTTCACCAAAAAAACAAAATTTGTTACATTAATAAATGTCAATGTCTTTTGAAGAGAAACTCGAGGTTCTACCATGAAAGGCCTATCGCTCTTACAAATTTGACTGCCAGCCAAACCAACAGTTGAAGAAATGCACCAGATCTGGGTCCCACATCCAACAGCAGGGGAAAGAGAAGCGGTTGGTGCCACTGGGGGACCACCCCGCCCTGCCCATAGCAAAGCAGCACACGGGAGGCAGGAATCTACACTCCTCCACGGAAGCACACCACACGCAGAATGAAGGGGGCCTGCCACAGGAAGCTGCTCAGAAATCCTCATGCCATTTTCAGCTCTTCAGCTGCTCATTAACTGTGTCGTTTGATTCCTGAGCTTAATCTTCATTCTCAAAGGCAGAAAATGCCCAGTGGCTAGAGACTCAAGAATTAGAACCAGACCCATGTCTAGTTCTTAGGTTTGGGCAAAGTCTGAAGCAGAGAGTTAAGTTACCCTTAAACATACCCACCAAAGTCAGCTTCAAACAAAACAAACAAAACAAAACAACAGTGGAAATACTGAGAATCATTTGTATTCTTTTTTTTTTTTTTTAAGATTTTATTTATTTGAGAGTGAGCAAGCATGAGCAGGGGGAGCAGCAGATAGAGAGAGAGAGAGAAAGGGAGAAGCAGACTCTCCACTGAGCAGGGAGCCCCACGCGGGGCTCGATCCCAGGCCCCTGGGATCATGACCTGAGCCGAAGGCAGACGCCCAACCCCCAACCGACTGAGCCACCCAGGTGCCCCTCATTTGTATTCTTTTCAAAAATGGAATCTAGGCAAAGACAAACTGAATGAAGAAACAATGTCCTATCAAGTAATACCTACCTTTGATAAATGAGCTAAACATCAGTATATTTTTCCTTTTTCCTTTCAATTTAATGGGCCCAACACTTTGACAGAATAAAGTGCTCCACACACATGAACTCAAAACCACCCAGCACTGAAATGACCTGTAACTCAGAGAGCTAAGGGGTCACATCTGCAGCTGAGGAGGACAGCCAGGGCCCACCACCCAGGAGGAGCAGGGTGCATCAAGGCTGCTCTGGCAGAACCCCCCGCTCAGGGAGCCTTGAAGTTCCAGGGCTTTACTCACCCCCAATATTTGCTATGGACTCTGGCCCAATAAGTTGATTTTCAAACAACCTTTCCGCCTGTTGTAACTTCGTATTTGGTTGCAGAACGCCAAGCAAGAGAGGGGGTTCTTTGAAGCTGTAAAATAATGCAATTATAGGGATTGGTCTATGAGAAATACATGAAGAAAGTGTATACTGAGGACCTTCATGCATAACTCCCCATTCTTTGATAAAGAGGGCATGTTGCAACAACATCCTTAGTTGCCAGAAACACAAAGGTTAAAGAAAACACCATTCTAGGATATCAGAAAAGGTCATAGTATAAAAAAAAATTAAAATATGATTATGGCTAATGAAAGAACTTTGTTAATCACCTGAGAGCATCTGGGGCCTCCACTTACCTGAGCTCCAGTCACAGTCCAATGCCCTTGGGACAGGATAGACCTCCTCCCACCCTCTGATTCACACGCCCCAGCATTTACTTTCCCAGTGCCTGCCCAGTCATTAAAATCCAGTTGAGACAGAGGGGAGTAGTGCTGACATTTCACAGCTGATAGCCTTGCTTCCTACTTCACAGAGAAGACAGAAGGAACGAGAGAAGTTTGTGCTGGGGCTGGCGCCACCAGCCCATCACCCAGCACAGGTGCGCCCTGCCTCCCACCTGTCCCTCTCAGGGCCCAGCCTGGTTTCTCTCTGAATCCAGCTTCCACTGGGCCCTGGACCCTTCCCCCTAACAACAGACTCAGCTCCAGGGATCTTCCCTCTCTGCTGGTCCTTCACAGCCTTCAAATCCTGCTGGTGGCACCCTCAGAAGACATACATGATTGAAGCTCTTCTCCCCATGTCCTCAGCTACCACCCTGGTCCAGGCCACCATCTTCTGGCCCCCACTTCCTCCCTTGTTCCCTACAGTGTATATCCTCAACCCAGCACCGTGCACCTTGTGAAATACAGTCAGATCACAGTGTTCAGCTCTCACAGCCCTGCAACGGCCCCATCTCAGCCAGAGCCTATGGCCTTGAGGGGCACCCTTTCCCCTGCAGTCTGGCCAGTCACCTCTCTCAGGTCCTCCCCCCTTGTTCACCCTGCCCTCCCCAGGACTCTCCCTGCTGGTTCCTGACCTAACAGGCACCTCACACCTGAAATCCTCGGTCCCAGCTCCTCTGTGCTTTGCCCTCTCCCTGAGGAGGATGCCTGCTCTGACCACCCAGTATAATACTCTAGACCTGCCCCCAAAAGCCCAGCCCCTTACCCCACTCTATTTTTTTCTATAGCACTTGGCAGCTTCTCACTTCTCTGTTATATATATTGTCTGTCTATCCCCAATAGAACACATGGCCCATGAGATCAAGGAGTTGTCTGTGTTTTTCACTGCTGTATCTCAAGCACCTGACATACAGGAGGCTCCCAATGAACACTGTGGGAGGGAGGAAGAAGTGAAGGAGGGAGCAGAGCAGGAGAATATCCCCCAATTCCCTCCCTACCTTGCCCTGAAGCAAGGCAGTATCCTAGCCAGCCCATCGGAGTGGGAGAACCAAGAGGGAAGGGGTGGTTGAGGCTGTGGAATGATGAAGAAGCTTCCCTGTCTTACCCAACCCCTCTCTTCCCAGCAGAGCACTTCACTTCCTACTGCCTCCTCTGAGTCAGGCATGTACTCAGGACACAGCACAATTTCCTCTGAATTAAACTCCCCCAACCCACCCTTTCACTCTACCTGCCTCCCAATTATGGCTTTCACCTGCTTTAAAAAAAAAAACTCATGATTTAACTAGGAGTTAATAAAGTTATTAATAGTTATTAAGTTAATAAAGTTATTAGATAGGTACCTACCGAATAAAACGAGGAGTTTTATTTCCAAAGGAAGAGAGCAGGGCTGCAACCTGCATACTTTGGTGAGAAAAGCCTGGGTTATGGAGATGGACACAGCTGGGTTCGAATTCTGACCTTGGAAAGGTCAGCCCTCCCAAGATGCATGTGAAGACTGAACAACACAAACATATACAGCCCAGGGATAGAGGACAGCACACCTGATACTCAGCCACTCCCTTCTGCCCAGTCCTTGACCTTGCCTAATTCCCTATACAAAGGAAGTCCTCAAGAAATACTTGTAGCATCAACCTAATTAGTACATAATGCACCAACCCTGCCAACAAGCAGCCTGAGTATTATCTCAATAGGGAGGCAAGAAGAAAACTTATATGAGAAAATGCAAAGGACGGGCAAGAAAGGGCTCTGACTCCTGCAGCCTGAGCAGCAGAAGCATCAAGGAAGAATGGCCTCAGGAAGGCCAGCCAGGCCACGTGGACCCTTGATAAAGCCTGTGAACTCATAAATTCTTATCAACTCCCTGTTAACTTCCAAGTCCTGCTAACTCATATTAAGTCCCATTAACTCCATGTATCAAATGTATCCTGAAAGAACTGACCAACATCTTCCAGAAATCAGGATGTCATATATGTCCTACCTACCAGAGTCCACCGGTCTTCCAAACAAGCAAGAAAGAAGGTTGCCTTGCATGGCAGGTTTTTGACAAAGCCCTGCAACCTTCCCGGTGACTGCTCCCTAGAACTGAAATCAACTGTGTAATAATCCATTCTGGAGGGGTCTGCACCCGTCTTTATTTTTCTCTGTGATATCTTGGCGATTGCTAAGTGTGGTCTCAGCTCTCCTGGGAGGTCACGTACACCAGAGGTAGACTCTCTGAGGCACTTCCATCAGCCATCCTCCCACCCAGCCAGTTGGCCTGATCCTGTTCCCCACCGCACCCGCTGGTGGAGAGAACAGAGGTGCAGCAGAAGCTGGGAGCTCTGCTTTCCCGTCATTGTCAATACTGCAACCACTTACTTGCTCCAGACAGTGCGTTTCCCTTCCTTGCTCTTTTTGCTCTGAACAGTTTGAAAGAAGCCCTTTTTGCTGTTGTCATTAGCCAACTAGATTATCCAGAAAGCCCCAGGTCAGTTTCTATTTGGGGTGGGTTGAGCCACATCCTTCTACATGTTGACAGGGATTAGCAAAAGAGAACCCCTGTCCCCCACAATGTGTGCTGGGAGCCCCCCACCCAAGACAGGACACCCAGTATACCCTTGGGCCTAGCTCAGCCAGAAAGACACATGGAAGGGTCCACCGACACATCAGGAATTAGAACCCAACACTGTCATGGGTCTAGAATGCTCAGGCCTTCATCCAATCTCAATCTTATGCAAGCTAATTATGGTTTAACAGCACCTTGTACCTTTACTAATTCTAAATCCAACAACAAAAAGTTGTTCTTGTATACAAATGTCAATCTAAGGTCTGAACTGTGTCCTCTTTGTATCTTTGTATTCAGCTGGGTACCTACCTTAAGCATTCTAGATGCTGAATATATTCTCAGTGAATTGAGTCCAATATAAACTTGAGCCTGAAGTTTTTAAACTTACTTAAAAAACTTTCAAAAGCTTCACCTCTCTAGAAGGTTTCAAGAGGAAAGGGGAATTTACTTATCAAACCGGATTGCACAACCCTTTTGGCATAAGCGCAACATTGATGTCATAAATCATCACACCATTAAGAGCCTGGCTCTGCATTACTAGAATTACAAACATTAGTATATTTCACAGGGTCCCTAGCTATACACTATTTTTTTCAAGTTATAATGGACCGTATTCCTCATAGATGCCCACCAACGAGAGGTAACTTAGGAAAAATAGAATACTAATTACAAGGCTTTTGAAAAATCAGTACTTATAAAATTTAAACAAGTAACTTAAACTTAACCTTTGTGTGTGCTTTTGCCACTTCAAATGAATTCAGCATAAGCTTCTCTTATTTGGGGTTTTTCTGGGTTTTATATGTCGTTTGTATAGTTTTGTTTTTGAAACCATATCATGAACAATACCATTCACATATGGTGTAACATCTGATTCCACACAAAACTCAGGCACTAAAGAAATCACAAATCTCTCTCCCTCTCTCCTAGTAGTTTACCTTTCAGATCGAACTGGTTTGTTACCCTAGACACTATCCCACCCTACCCTTGCCAAGCAAGCCCTCCCAAGAATGGCCATGACAGCTCACCTGAGAGGCTGTGGGTCTATGGGAGAATCCAGCAGCAGCATGGCTCCAAGCAGGGGAATAGTGAGGGAGACAGCCAGCATCAAGAAGGTCACTCGGAACACACGGCCACTAAAGGAGCTGCAAGAGATGAAATATACAAAGGCGATCAGCAGAGGCTCAGCTGGGACAAGCTCAGCTGGTCTCAAAGCCTGTCAAGCAGGAGCAGGCCTCTAGCCTGGTCTCACCTTGAGACCACTGACCTCTGTGGCTTGTGATGAAACTTCAGGACGATTTGCTACGATTGGCAAACATGCCTCTGTGCTTTTTTTTAATCTTCCAGCTGTGCGGGAAATGCTTATCAGTTATTTGCCAGATAGTCTGGTAAGGGGTACCATCAACCCTCTAGCGGAGTCTCAAAGAGGGCAAATCAAAGAACTGATAAACATAAAAATGGAAGAAAAGAGGTGCAATGAAGTAATGCAAACACACTCGTCTACAGAGAAGACATGTTTTCCAAAAGCCACTATTTCCTGGTACTTGGATTCAAAGCAGCAACACTCAGTACTGTGGGTCCCTAAGATTCACAGCTTTGGTAGATAAAAGAGAAACAAATTCATGAAGCAAAGAGAATAAAAAACAACCTCCTGAGCATCCAATTCTCCAATCATTTTGCCAATCACACCACACCTTCAAGAATTCAAAGCAAATCCCAGCTCTCTGCCTGGTAGAGGTCTGACAGATACTGACAGTTACTTAAAAGAATCTATACAATCACAATTCCAAGTCACCACTACTAAAGCCTTGGGAAGATCTAAAAGCTGCCTTGGGAATCTTGTGTGATGTTTTTGGACAAATGACCAATGGTAACTAAAATATCTCTCAAACGATCCTCACATACACCATTACTCATCTGGTAAACAAGCACATTTAGCCTCTTGCTACTTCATAGGATCATTATTTGCTTTAAGTGCATTCAGATTTATTATATACTCACATCAAGATTAACTTCAAACAAATAAAATCATGAGCTCCTAACGTGGAGAATCTTTTTCTATCCAAAAAAAAAAGTTGACTTAAAAAATATCAAGACTCACACTTAACAAACACTTCACTGAAGGGCAGTGTTTTGTTTGACTTTTGACAGGCTAGTCTTCTGCTGTATAAACCTGATTCCAGGTACAGTACATAAATGTAGGGGCCTAAGGGCCAGTCCTAACTTTCCCAACAGCCAGCTATGCCACTTCAGGCAGGTTTCTTCACACGAAGCCCACGGGCTCCCCACTATGAAACAGGGCTTTGTAACCTCAAAGTCCTGCCCAATTTGAACATGCATGATTTTAATAAATGAATATGGCAGAAAATGAAGCATCTGTTTCTACTGGGTTGAAATAAAAGGCAAGGAGAAAGAAAAACAGGAGGGAGGGAGAAGATTCTCCCCTAGTGCCCCCAGAAAGGAGCGCGGGCCTGCCAACACCCTGATTTCAGCACAGTGAGAACTGTCCGGGACTGCTGACAGAACTGCAAGTTCATCCAATGGTGTTGTTTAAGCCATGAAGTATGTGGTCACTTGCCATGGCAGCCATGTAAAACTAAGGCAGTTTTCTAATTAAACTATTTTTGTGGCCTGGAAGTGGGGTGCTGCTGCAACAAATACCTAAACACGTGGAAGTGGCTTTGGAATCAAGCAGCAGGCAGAGGAAGGAAAAATGCTGAGAAGCAGGACAGAAAATCTTGTCCAGAGTTCCTTAAACAGACTTAGTAGGAAAACAGATGTTAAAGACTCTGCTAGCAAGGGCTCAGAAGGTAGTGAGGAGCGTGGTAGAGAAAACGTACGTCATCTCAGGGGATGTCTAAATCGTTGGGAACAGACGGACACTGAAGGCACCGCTGGTAAGGGCTCTGAAGGATGTCAGGAACAGGTTATTGGAAACTGGAGGAGAGCAGATCCTTATTATACTGTGTCCTGCAGCAATGTGGAAAGCAGAACTTGTATATGATGAGCCAAGATGCTGAGCTAAGGCCCTTTCCAAGCAGAGTGGAAGGTGCAGCCTGGTTTCTTTTTCTCCTTTCTCTTCCAGAGCAGGACAGCATAGGGAGCAGCAGTGAGCACTTCCTTTTGCCTTTGACATTTCCCCCTTTAGTAATGAGAACCCTATTCTGTGTCTATCTTCCTTCTAATAATCTTCCAAAAACAAAGTTTATTCCTAACTTCCTTCTCTTCACTCACACAGGGCTCAGAGCCCAAACTCTACCCAGGCAAAAATGCCAGGTCACCAGCCTTTCCCTCTTCTGCTACCTGGGAAAGGAGGTGGTCCATCCCACAGACCCGGCTGTGAGAGGCCAAGGGTGCCCAGGCTCCTGGAAGAGGACCTGCAGCCAGGAAAGGAAAATTCAGGCCTCTACCTCCCAGCCCTGTCTCCAAACTCCAGGGCCACAGAGTCTTCTAATGCGACTGACCGATGCCAGTCAAGAGTGCAAGAGCACAGGGCATGAAAATGCACATATGACATAGATCAGCTATGAACCCAACATGACAGCAGGCTGATGCAACCTGCTGAGAAGTCTGCAGCAGGGGAAGGAGTAAAGGCCATAAAAAGAGGAATGATAAAGACAGTGACAATAAGAACATGCCATGCAACGTGCTTTATGTGGGTAGCTAGCTAGGTGGAACTAGGTCTCTCTCTAGTTTCCGAAGAGAAAAGTGGTCAGAGAAAGACAAGTGGGCCCGCCGCCCACTGCCAGAACTGGAAGAGCACGACGGAGGGCCAGGTCTGACTCTAAGGCTGCAGTCACCATTACCACCACCACCTGCCAGGGACAAGCGGATGGGGAGAGGGTGCCCAGACCTAGAGCCCTCAGAGCCGGGGTTGGAAAAACTCAGCACACCTTGATCGTGACATTATTCTGGACATTTCGTATACGTGGGATCATACAATATGTGACCGCCATGAATGACTCCTTTCACTCAACATATGTTTTGAGGATCATCGAGGCTACAGTATGTATCAATACGTCATTCCTTTTCACAGCTCAATACTATTCCATTGTAAGTATACACAGGCATACCTCATTTTACTGTGCTTCACAGACACTGCATATTTTTTTTTACAAGTCGAAGGCTCAAGACTTCAGTGGAGGAGGTAATTGCTGATGTGGTGGAAACAGCAAGAGAACTAGAATCAGAAGCGAAGCCTGAAGATGTGGCTGAGTTGCTGCAACCTCATGATAAAACTTTCACAGATGAAGAGTTACTTCTTATAGATGAGCCAAGAAAGTGATTTCTTGAGATGGGATCTACTCCTGGTGAAGAGGCTGTGAAGATTCTTGGAATGACAACAGAAGAATGGGAATAGCACATAAACTTAGTTGATAAAGCAGTGGCAGATTCTGAGGGGATTCCAATTTTGAAAGAAGTTCTATCAATGCTATCAGCAGCATCACCTGCTACAGAGAAACTGCTTGTGAAAGGAAGAGCCAATCGGTATGTCAAATTTGTCTTACTTTAAGAAACTGCCACAGCCACCCCAGCCTTCAGCAACCACCACCTGATCAGTCAGCAGCCACCAACAACGAGGCAAAACCAGCAGAAAGATGATGACTTGCTGAAAACTCAGATGATGGTTAGCATTTTCAGACAATAAAATATTTTTAACTCAATGTAAAGGTATGTACATTGTTTTTCTAGACATAATGCTATTGTACACTTAATAGATTATAGTATAAACACAACTTTTCTATGCACTGGGAAACCAAAAACTTCATCTGACTCATATTATTGAGATAAAAGCGGTCTGAAACTGAACATACAATTTCTCAGAGGTATGCCTGTATCACAATTGGTTTATCCACTCATCCACTGACATTTGGGTGAAAAGGGGAAATAAGGAGTTGATGCAGTTTTGGAATATAGGTGAGGTTCAGAGGGGTGGAGTCTGGACCTGACAACCAGGAAAGAATTTTTCAGGCGTCTTCGGTGCAAAATGGTGGTTTATTAAAGCACGGGGACAGGACCTGTGGGCAGAAAGAGCTGCGGCCCCGTGGTCTTGAGGAGTGGCTGATTATATACTCAGGAGCTGGGGAGGTGAGGACAAAGGGGGTGTCCAGAAGGACTGTCATATGCTAAAGACTCTCAGGGTACTGGAGGCCTGGTTATTGTCAAGCCAAGGTTGTTTTTCCCTCTAATGAGGCACTAACATGAAGACAGTTGGGAGTTTCCTGGAGGAATGTTACATTCCTCCTATCACACGTCCTTGTCAATGGGCTTCAGGTTCAAAAGAAATTTAATTTTATTTACATTTCCTTCTGCCTCAGACTCCCTTAATTTTACGGAGGGAAGGGTGATGTTACGGCTTCAGGAAACTGAGTTATGGGTTTCTTGGAAGTTAGGCTATTGATAAGAAAGCTTCTTCCTTGAAAATCACTAGGAAATATGTAAACTGAGGGAGACTCCTGTGCTGCAGGACGGTGATCTCTATCAGTTCACCATTTGTTTTTCCTTTAGGGCAGCCAGGAGTGTCTGAGGAATGTCACATATATACCAAAGTGGGGGAGGGGGTGTGTGTAGGGTACCAGCTTCTGCTTTGTCCTCAGCTTGCCTTCTGTTCCCTCATCAGAGTGATTACTTAATAGGTACAAGATGTTTTATGGGGTGGTGAAAAGGTTTTGAAACTAGAAAGTGTTGCCCAACACTAAATATCACTAAACTGTATACACTCTAAAGCAGTTAATTTTGTTATGTGAATTTCACCTCAATTTTTAAAAATGTTTAACAGTGATGAAAATGTTCTAAACTTAGATTGTGGTGATTATTCCAAACTTTGTGAATATACTGAAAACCACTGAATTGGACATTTTTAAATGGATGAATTTTATGGTTTGTGAATTTTATCTTGTTAAAAAAAAAAGTCAATGACCCAACTACACAAACTGCCATTCTGAAGCTGGGACACTCAACTGATTTTAAGTGGCCTAAAGTCTTTTAACCCAAAAAAATACAAAGTATCTATATGGTAAAGCAGGGCTGTTTACAATTGATAGGAATGGCTGATTCCGTGGTTCTTTTAAAAGCAGAATCCCAAGAGAGACAAATGCAAAGGTGCATGGTGCGGCTGCATTGCACACATCATTCGGGTAAGGTC